TTTCTCTTATCGTCTCGTGTAGAAAGTCTGTGCTTCGTGAGAGCGCTCCAATGAACGTGCTTGGGGAAAGTCAGTTTCATTCTTAGGAGAAGAAAGTCGAGCAACGGAAGCGAAAGCTGATTGAATCACTCCCCGAGGAGGACGATCTGGATCCCGAACTCAAAGCAATGATGGGTTTTCGGTGGTTTTGGCTCATCGAAGAAGAAGTAGTACTTTTAATATTTCTACTCCTACTCTACTTCTTCATTCTACTTCCTAACAAAATATGATATTTTCATTGCTCGTAACACTTTCGGCCTTGGAATTTTTCTGTGAGAAGAAATTATTCCAGCTCATAGTGGTTACTTATTAGGAAATACATAACATTGCAGCAAATTTGAATTCTTTTCGGCAGCGTAAGCTATGGAACTAGGAAGCTGTCAGGATTGCCAGAGCTTTCTTTGTTCTAAGTCTATGTGAAAGTGATTCCAAATTTCTCACAATCAGTCATTTATGGTCTTCACAACCGTGTACTTCACGGTTTTGAAAGCTAGAACCTCTTCATAGACATCTCCCAGTATCTCCTCCATATTCTTTTGCTTTTTCTCATATTCCTCTGATGAACCAATTTTGAACTATTACTAGTTAAAAGCCACAAAAAGACTAAAATTAACAACATACTTTCTGCCATTTTTAGTTTAAACCGCTCCCTGACATCATCCAGTGTGCTTCTTTTGACCTTCATGGACATTCCCATGTTCCTGCAATGTCACTATATGCCGCACCCGGAGCTCTACAGAAAATTACCAACCTTTGGTGATTTTTTCCGTTTATATGATCAAGGAAATTGATCGAATCTTTGACAACACAATCGCAAACATCACAGTAATAACCACCAGTTTCAGCTGCAGGAGTAGTTTTGTTTATAACTACGGATCGACCCAGTTTTGATTCAAGATCAACCTAAATGTGTCTAAGTTCGGAACAAAAAATCACGTGAACCAGTAAAAAGGTTGCGAGCCGGTAATAATACATCAAAAATAAACAACAAACATGCACACCTTGTAATCTCTGGCCTTCAGCAATTCTCTTTTCACTTTTGGTTCATCTTTTGGTTTACCGCCTCTCTTGGTAACATCCTCCAATTTTTCTGCTTTTATTCGTTCCAACGCTTTCTTCTCGAACTCTTCCTGAACAGTGACACTAGTTCTTATGTTTCAAATACACTGGTGAAGCATCCAAACCTGGTCCCATTTTCGCCGATGATCAATGCTAGCTGCGCTTGAGCCGGCCTGTTCGTAGTAGGACATCACGCACCTGGCACATAATATCTATATCACAAGAAACAACTAGAAAATGCTTAGAAAGAAACAAATTCGCAAGGAAAACAGCCGCACTCACCTCCCCGATTTTTTTTATTTCTATGCAACGTGGCTAAGCGCCAACTCCATTACAATATGTGCAATTACACAAAGTTACCACTACAGTGTCTGCTGAAGAGCGATGTGTCGGGTGATGATGAATCTGGATGTTATGCTTTTGTAAGCTGCAGTTTAGGGTAAACAAATGTTGGCTTTTATTCAATAAGGGGATGTGACGGGAAAGTCGCTGCCGCCTACAGAAATTCCAGTTTTGCAGTGGGAGGGGATCCCGCGGGTGCGTGAACCGTTTCGCTTCTGCCTTTAAACCCATTCCGAGCTTCCTTCTTCTGCTAAAAATAGAGGACCACTTCAGGCGATATGAATTGTTCTACCTTACTGAATGAGACCCCAAATGTTTCACCCACAACAAAATTTTACCATAACCTTCGCATCGTGCACTTCGGCTGGAAACAGCAGCTTAGAAAGCAAAACAACTCAAAAACAAATAAAATGTCCGGAAACAAGTGAGTAGCATATGTCCCCGCTTTGTGATGTCCGCATATCGATTGGACTGTTCGCGTGCACAAATAACAAGGCATCAATTTTTCCATATGAACCAATACAACCATTTGCAGCAGACCAGCTGTAGTCTATGTTTTCACTGCTCCTGCAGGTCAGCCAAACACAAAATCTAGCATCAGGGACCAAGCGAAGGGTCTGAAATACCCCACCATTTAAGTGGTACTGGCGTTCGATGTCCCTAACGCGGTATATAATCCCTTCTCAGAACTGTTCCCTAGCGCGACTTTAATTTTGGTGCAGCACTGTTAGGACCACTTCCCTTGGATGAAGGATACGCGCTTCGTTTTGTTTTGTCGATTGAAAAATCAGTAGGGAATTAGCGGGAGGTCTCACTTATTCATCTGAGGAAGGCACGCTTATGCTTCGACGATTATCACTGATTTTAGGGATTGGAGACGGATTATGTGAACAGCGCTTATAACCCGACGAGGCAATTTGAAGAGAGGAAACAGAGGACAACAACAATGTCTACCGTGTGAACCACCCTCATTAAAGCCATGGTTTGGCTACTCTTCAGCAGTGGTCACAGTCGTCTATCTGACTGCTGCCTAGTATTCGGTGATCTGCTCGAGCTTTCGTGGCCACTTATCCAGCATAGCAGTGTGGAACTACTGTGTTAAATCGTTCACTCCAAACCTAACATATACTCCTTTCCAAAAACGAGAAGAGCGTCGGGTGCAGACCATACACCACAAGTGACGACGGCCTCCACAAAATGTAAATGTTTTCTGCCAATGAAATGATTAGCCTGTTGCAGTTGTATTCTATCAGTTGTCACTAATTACAACTATCATTTACCAAAAATCAGCTATCACTATGAACCACTACTAACCAGATTTACTTGGAGGCCGTCGTCACTTGTGGTGTATGGTCTGCACCCGACGCTTTCTCGTTTT